TACTTCACTGCATTAATTAAATAATTGTGAATAAATATAGATTTTAGGAATAAATATTACAAAATCCCTTTCAAACTGCCTGCGTCGAATTCTTTAGGACTTCGGCCATATTGCCAGGAGAAGCGAAGATAACGAACGAAGCGAAATAACGATAATGGAAAAGCTCATGGTAACTGGCAAGGCCGAAGGAAGGAGACGCAGGGGGCGTAATCCGATGCGTTAATGGTCCGACCAGGTCCGGTCAGTTCTCGAGTCTACTGTCTACGAGGCGTTACACTCTGCGCAAGATAGACACGGGTGGTACAGGATTGTCTATAAGAAAACGTTCATGCGAGCTCACGACCCTCAGCAATGAGGAGACCGACGCAAGGAGGAGGAGGATTACAAATGAGAGATGAGCGAAGGAGCCTTTGACATTAAAAAAATACAAGTAGCGCCATCTCAGCCGTACTAATTACATATTATATTTTTAGAAATCAGAAGCAGATATATTAAAAAAGAAACAATTTTAACACTTGACCTAGTTATTTAGTCTGGAAAAGTAATTTTAACAACAAAATTAATTAAATAGAAAGAACAAAATCCTAAACTTAATTATTTAACGCTTTAACAAAACTACACGACCGGTGTTTGCACTACGAACGCCAAGAGCCAAGAGACGCGTGGCGGTTTGAATGCTTCTTTTATAAACAATCGTGTGGGTAGTTCTTTTATAAATAACTAGTTTTTGCCCGCGACTTCGTCCGCGTTAGTTTGGTCAAGAGTAATATATGTAGGTATAGCTGACCAGGCGAACTCTATTCTGTCTTACAGGCCATAAATAATCAGGTTTTGCCTGTTTCAATCAAACAGAATGATTGACATATTAGTTAGTTGTCAAATCTAATGTAAAAAAAAACGTTTGTATGGGAAATAGAAAAGAGCTGTTTTTAGGGTTTTTCCGGCAATTATTCCAATTTTTCTCACCTTTTAAACCTTCCCTGGACTTCCAGGAGTATTTCAAGACTAAAGTTAGCCAAATCGGTTCAGCCGTTCTCGAGTTTTAGCGAGACTAAGGAACAGCAATCCATTTTTATATATATAGAAGATGACGGTGGTAAGCTGATTGCTTATAATATACTATAATTCTTAGAATTATTTTATCATAATACTGAATTGTAATGTTGAAATGGTAACATTTAAGTATCACCTTATATTTTTAAATTATAAATACTAGCTCCAGCCATTTTACAGGACATTACTGGAAGTAACATTGAAAAACAAATCTGAAACTGTACCTCGAAAATAACCGCGTTTTATTAATTGCGTCTACTATAGTCTAAACCAGAGGTGGCCAACCGGTCGAGCGCGATCGTTAGTCCAATCGATCGTGGCCAGTCAAAAAATATAAATAAATAGACCAGACTGCGCATTTTAATTATCAACACCTGCAGCACCATCTTGTATCATTTTTCAATCGCTGTTCCGTCACGTTATTTATGCTCTATTCTACAAAGTACATATATAGTGTTTTGTTTTCGACACACGTTATTACTCTGCGATGCGACATATTTCTAAAAGCAAGGTCCGCAGGTCAAGATTTCTGGGCATTGGTTTCCAAAGAAAAATATCCAAATTTGATAAAATGTGTTGATAAACTTCATTCTAGTTTTGGTTCAACATATTTATGTGAATCAGCATTTTCCTACTTAAAACAACACTAAACACCGTTCTCGCTTGACAGACCCTCATACATTAGATTCTTTAAGGTTGGCAATTTCCAACTACAAACCTGATTATGCTAAACTAGTGGAAAATGTTCAGGCGCAATGCTCAAACTAATATACCTACAGTGTGTATGAAAAATTGTGTCAACCCTCTTAACTACGTTATCAGTATCGAAACAACTTACATTTACAAAATCTTCAATAGAAATAATAAAATTAAATATTAAATAATTTACCACCATCACACCTGCTGCGCTACCAGTGACGAACTCGAACGTACATTCACATTATTTTGATTGTTTAATCACTTTAACGATTCACTGATACCACTTTTTTCAAATATCGATACGTTTCACTATGTTACAAATCAATTTAAAATAACACTTAGTTAACTAAAAAGTATACGGCTCGAGAATTCACTGTCTTCATCGTTTTCGTTTAAAGTCCATTTGCAGAATGCCATTCTAGGCTCGAAGTCGGTAGGAATTAATAACTGTACTCGACGATAATGGTACGGGTGTCGGCCATTTTGTTTTAAAACTTTCCAAACACGCGTATAGTTGAGTAGATGTCCACGCGTGCTTTGCGTAGGGTCCTGTCGAAAAATATCTGATATGTGTTCCTCTAGATCGTCATTATTAACCCTCGGCCTTCCCGCATTAGCACGTTGTTGTTCACGGCCATCGACATTTCCGAAATTGTACATGCGTATATGAAGACGCTCAAATGCCTTAAGTGACGGTAATGGTATGTTTCTTGGAGAAGCAAACAGTTCGTCATAAAGTCTACGCGATTCCGCATAATTACACACAATTATAATAATCACTTTTCACTAGACACATAATCACATTTCACTAGACACATTAACACATTGAAATATTCCTGGTTGGAATACATTTTATAAAACAACACAACTTTATAAAACCGCAACCAAAAAGTAAGTAATCCACTCGAAACTCGAAAGAAATTTCCACGAATTTTTATTAAAAGGGCGGGGTAGGCTCGAATAAAAAATATCGATATTTAAAAAATCATAACAATAAATCAATATTTAATATTCATATTATTTCGATACTTATTTTGATATATCAAACATTAATATTATTTTTGATTGTAAAACACCATTTTTAACAGAAATAGATTAACGATTTATCCTAATAATACAACATAGTTAATTTACTTGAAGAAGTTCCAAATTATAATATTGATTAATATATTATTAATAAAAGTTATTTTAAATGAAATTATTTTATTGTGAAAAGCATAACTATTATAAATAGCAATATTGAAAATATCGATAGAATATTTATCGATATACCTAATTTTTAAACTTGCAAATCTCTATTCGAAGAACAAACAAATGCCGCTTCGCGCCACGCCGGCAGCCCGGCGCCTGCGATGAATGGCCGCGCGTGCGCCGGAGCGACTATACGGCGCCTCTTAACCGTTTATGGGTCGGATGTCAAATAATGTCGATTTAAAACTTATTTAGCCTATGCACTGTAATTGACCTCTGCTTGATATTTTTTAAGTCATACTATTTTTAATAATAAGCTTATACTTATATGTATACATGCCTTTAAAGAAGGACACAGTTTTTAGAACACGCTATATAGGACCCATATAATGTTAAGTAAATTTAAGAAAACGATCTCACATGTGATATGAAAAGAAACTACTAAGACTGGTTAATAGAAAATACATGATTGTGTACTAAACTGTGCAGTTTCATTTCAAGAAGTATGTATGTACTTGGTCGATCGCACAGGGTTTCGTTAGTAAACAGTAGCTCTTAGGTCTAGTCAAGTTGACCACCCATCAAGTTTTTTCGGGGAGGGGGCGGGGCGACACTTTAATATCGTAGATCAATTGATCGCCGCACACGCGGCCCGTCATTCATAAATAAATTGAGACGATGCCATTCTTCAAGTATGCGTGTACGTAGAGTTTTTTTTAAATAAAAAACATTTTGTTTTAGATTGGTTATATTTCTTTAGCATGAATGGATGTTATACTCTTGCGGATGCACGGGAACGCCCTCTTAGTTAACGTACTGTATAAGAAAAGTTAAACGTTAAAATAAAAAAATAATCTAATATTATAAAGAAGTTGTATTCCAAGAAACTCGAAAAAAATGCACAAATATTAATATTTTTTGGGTTTCATATACACCTAAGTCTGTTTTTACACGGTCTTTTTGTCCACGGTTTGAAAATTGAATATTTTTAATTTTTTTACACGATTTTATTCCATTTAGCACGATTTGAAATTTTATGTAGGTACTTAAATTTTTTTGTCAAATTTAATTTTTGCGAAGTATGTTGATATCACAAAAAAGTATTTATGAAAGAAAAAAGTCTGAAACCATTGATAGTATTGATAGTTTGCGAACATAAGCATTATATATTTGATTTAATAAAATAAACATGAATTCTTGTTCTTAAAAATTCTTGTTTTTCAGTAATTTTAATAGGTTTTAGAGATTAGGAACAAATCACCCATTTTTGTATAAGATCAATGTCTTTTTTTACACGGCTTCTTCTGGAACCAATCTACCGTGTAAAAAGAGACTTAGGTGTATTTATTATGTAACAAGTAGTAGTAATAATTAATTATTTTATTATTTGTAGTTAAAGTACCAGGTTTGAAACGGAAAATAGATTTAGACACCTGAACTTTTGCTTCACCTAGTTTTTTCTATTTTCCTTACTTTCCTTCTCGTAGTTTCGAATTAAATTAAAAGATAATTCATTCTTGTTAAACTACTACACACGAATTATATTTATTGTATGATAAAGCTCTAATGGTAATAACGAAAATTTTTAAGGTTAAACGGGAATTGGAAAGGAACTGTGATTGGAATAAAGACCAATTAGCTCCCTCCAAAATCTTCGACAGACTTCTATGTAAAAGTGAACCGAAAATACTCTAAAAATAATACACTTTAGCAGTAGCCAGATAGGAAAACCGGTTTGATCATACCACATACCCCCATAAATTCAAAAACTTCTACTGCGAAAAAACAAAATTAAGTTGATGTTCCCTTTTAACCAATATAATGTATTACCGCGGGTCTATTCTTTACATTTATATAGTTTTTCTATATACACCAATAGCAATAATAAAATACTTACTCGTGCTAACTAAATAATGCTAGCATTTTTATACTCAATCAGCTTATATGGCTAATTATAAAAAAAATTGGGGGTGGAATAAAGCTGCCAAATGTTTCATACATTTTATTAGTCCCATTTATACAGTAATGAAGTCCAAGGTGTGTACGAGTGAGGCAGGTCACAGCAGCCGGCCGCGACACGTTGGGGCCCCGCAGTAACAGTAGAGGACCTTCCCGGCCACGGAACCCACGTCGTAGTTGTAGTTCCACGTGAGCTCGCCCCCGGCCCGCACCGCGCGGAGAGCGAAGAAAGACACCCACGGGAAGCGAGGGTCGTGCGTGTCCACGAACACGTTCGGCACGCACGAGTGCTGGGGCAGTGGGAATAGACCAGACCAGTAATCATATCTGTTTTCGATCGAATTTTTAATGATTTTTTTCTATTGCAACACTAATAAAACAAAAAAAAAACAAATTGACATTGATATGTCACAGACTGATTGTTTACATTCGCTTTGTTTACCTACATTGAGAGTGTTGATTTATTGTGGATTTTCTTTCAACGATTGTTTATTCATTATGGACTCCGACCTATCTTTTTCCAATGACCCCGGCACACCTACGGACCCCGAGTATCAATCAAACGATGACCCTGGCTTTTGTATTATGGACTCCGATGACCAACACTCACGTAATATGGGCCCCGAAACTAGCTCCATCGCTAACCACTGCTTGAATATGAACATTGAACAAAACCAAAGCGTGTCTCATGATAGTCTGCACACAGAAGAAGTGACTTCTTACCAATCCGTATCTCTAAGATGCATAAACTGTGGAACTGATTTGATAGAGCGAAGGCGACATAGTCTAGACTCTAGATCTTTATCAGGTTCAGTCTATTATAAGACAGTGGATAGCTCCTCGACGACTAAGTCTAAATTCAATTAATTATTTAAATCACTCGTTTTTTAATAGATATGTATTGTATATGCTATTCCTATAATGCAATATGAGGTTTTATATAATTATAATCCTTATATACTGTTGTATTATAATAAATGAAAAGATGTTTAGCCCTAACACATTAGCTGACTTTGTTATCGAAAATAATTTAAATAGAAGGCGGGCAGATTTTTAACCTATAAATGTAAACATGGATAGTTTCATATTTCCAAGAATAGAATATAATTATATTATAAAGATTGCATGTGGAATATACCAACTAAAACAAACTTGTTCATATTATGGGCAGCACATAAGAGGCGATGGTTCCTATACTATAGAAGTATGTAGAAATATAGCCAGCAACCTATTGGTGTACTACCCAATTCCTTTGGCCCACTGCAGATTATTGCGTGGAAAAATACAAAGCAGGCATGCAAGTCGAAAAATACATTTTATATATATATATATATATATATATATATATATATATATATATATAGGGTAAGACCACCTATTGTTGGCACTCCACCAATTTATTGGCACGTTGTAGTTATTTATCAATAATAAGGTTACCAGTATCCAAATACAGATTTTTTTTCGTGTAATAAATAGAAGGTTCAACGTTCTATAATACCGCCAACACAGAAATCGTTCCTTTTTAAAATATGGCGTCGCAGTGAACACCTATTGGTCGTGCTCGGAGATGAATAAAAAAACTAACAAAACTTTGTGCTTTTTCTAAGGTAAGAGGTTCACTAATCTCAATAATAAGTCTTTTGAGTGTTGGTTACAGATACTGTTAAATTGGATTATTTAAATGTTTTTCTAGCATTTTCAATCATGATTTTTAATGTCGACTCATTTTGCATATTTTTTTACGGTGCCAACATTTGGTACACATAATATGAGTAAAACCTTTTTATTGGCACACGTGCCAATATTAGGTAAATAAGAAAATATACCTTTTATGGCAAAATATTCTTTATATTTATTATCGTTCGATTCAGATTTCTAATAAATACATATCACAAGTTAAGAACATATTCTTCCAAATTTTGGCCCACTGCCAATGGTATGAAAAACCATTTATTAGCAGTAGTGTCAATAATTAGTATTTGGGGTGCCAATAATAATTTAAAAAAATATTTTCAGTTATCTTCAAAATGAAGCCTCGTACAAAAAACAATAAAAATGTGAAGATTGATAAAATAAAGCGGAAGGCCTATTCAGATGAAAATTTACAAAAAGCCCTTGCAGAAATTTCTAAAGGCATGAGTAAAAAACTTGCTGCCAAAACCTTCCAAGTACCGCGTTCTACCATACAATTCCGGTTAAAAAATCCAGAGCATGGCTGTAAACCAGGCCCACCCACAATTTTAAATAACGAGGAAGAAGAGGCTTTAGTGACTTGGATCAAAGTCAGTAGTAGAAAAGGTTTCCCAAAGAGAAAAGAGGATTTGATCAAAAGCGTTTCGGAATTTCTAAAAAAAACTAATCGGACGTCCACTTTTAAAAATGGCGAGAAATGGTTTAAGTTATTTCTAGCCAGACATCCTAGTCTTGCTTTCCGTACACCAGAAGCAGTTACAGCTGCCAGCTCGACAGTGTCAGAAAATGATGTTAGGGGATGGTTTCGGCAAATCAATGACTACTTTGTTGAAAATAATTTGGGTCATATACTTTCTGACCCAGCGCGTGTATTAAATGGAGATGAAACCAATTTTGTGCTGTGCCCAAAAACAGGTCTAGTTTTAAGTTTAAAAGGAGAAAAAAATGTTTATGAAGTTGATCACGCCCAGGCAAAAACTTCGTCGACTGTAATGTTTACTTTTAGTGCAGACGGGAATCTTACCCCGCCAATGGTCATTTTTCCAAATAAAAGATTACCTGCAGAAATAACTTCTAAAATTATATTTCTAAAGAATTAAAACAGAGAAAGCTGAAGGTATCAAGAAAAGAAAAGAAGAAAGGGAGAGAAAGAAATTAGAAAAAGAGAAACAACCGGCGCCAAAGAAACAAAAAAAAAAGAGGCCTAAAGACGAAATATCGAAAATACTATTTTCTGAGAAATTTTATAAGTTTGATACTGAAAACATTGTCGAAAATAAAGAAAATGATCGGGAGTTAATTGATATAAATAGAATGCAAGGAAGCAGTCATAATAAAGCTTACACCACGGACGAAATAGAAAAAATGTTGACTGAATTAGATGATGATGATTAATATATACCTAGTCGTAGATAAGAACACAAAGATCTCAAAATGTTGATTTATTTAGATGATTATTAAGCACATATTATATAAATAAAACTATTTCAGTTGATTACAATGTAGGGTAGCTAGAAATGTTTGTTTCGTTGATGTTTTTTAAAATTTTAATGAGAAAAAAGTTCCTAATCTAAGTTCCTGTTCTTTTATAGAAATATATTATATTTTTCATTATTATTTCAGTGTTTTTTTGTTCCTAAATGTCTAAATTAAGTAAAATACAAGACGTGCCAATAATGGGTTATGATTACTGCCAATTAAGGGATTTTCTGTGCCAAAGACTGGTCTTTATACTCAACAGCATTTAATTAAAAAAAATGTTCAATCATATTGCTTAATCTAAAATAAAGTGTATTGGAAAACGATTACTAGTGATGTTCAAAGTGTTTAAATCCTTTTTCATTGTTTAAATTTATATTACACTAGCTTTCCGCCCGCAGCTTCGCCGCGTGGAGTTCGGTTATATCGCGTTTCCAAGAGAACCTTTCAAAAGTCTGGGATAAAAACTATCCTATGTTCTTTCTCAAGGTCAACTCTATCTCTGTACCGAATTTCATTAAAATCAGTTCAGTGGTTTAGGCGTGAAAGCGTAGCAGACAGACAGACAGACAGACAGACAGACAGAGTTACTTTCGCATTTATAATATTAGTAGGGATGAGGTATATTCATAGTTTTCATGAGAAAGCCACTTAAAGTGCCAATAAATGGGTGTCTTACCCTATATATGAAAATAATCACAATGGTAAGGAAGCTATAAAAGAATATTATTGTAATTGCATGGTTGGCCGAAGGACAGTGGGTTGCTGCACTCATATAATGACTATTTTATAGTTTTTAAGTTGGGCAAGGTATCAGGAACACATTTCACCACCTGTCTAATTTCTTAAAAACATATTATTAACAAATGATGTCTCAGAATAAAAAATGTTCTTTTATTTCGCTTTAACCTGTTTTTCCTCACATGATAAAAATCTCTTTTTGAACATTTTGATACAAAATTAAGTTCATATTCCCATTATTACTAGTTAGTGCTTTTAAACTAATTACAAAAAAAAATGATGAAATGTCTGTTCATGTCAGGCCAAAGTCCCCATACTAAGTGGACAATCGCCTTTATATATAAAGTCTATATGAAGTGTACTTATTGGCTCCCTATGAAAATGACTAGTGAAAAGTAATCCCGAAGAAATTTAAAACCTTAAATGTTTGACTATAAATGTATGACCTATATAAGGTTTAATTTAAATGTGAACTGCACTACACCATTTTAGCAATCTATTGCCATGACATTTTCCTCACCTATAAGTATTTTGATTTAAATTCATTTGCTCCCATCCCAGCAGCGGCTTTGAAATTCGAAGGTTCTCAAACTGCAATTAGATTTAATTATTAATTTTAATAATTGACTATATGGTATATAATATTCTATTCACATAAGATACAATTGTAATAGTAGAGACAGTAGAATTTCACATATTATCTTACACATATTAGAAAAACTGTAGGCTATGAAGCAGTGAAAAATAATATTGTTATATTACAATAGATGGCTCCATAAACAAAACTGTATACAAGAATTGTAGGAGACTATGACCTAATTTGTCTATACACATAGAAGATATTTTTGGTTGAAATCAGAAAAGGTAACTTGACAGATCCATACTGATCAATCTTCTAGCAAACAAATAATTTCTAATGGGGACATTTGAAGCAAGTTTATATACTCACATTAAAACACATGGAATTACAAGCTTACATAAAATAGAACTATCAATTATTCCAATTATTATGAAATAAAAACATCTACAATTTTAATTTTAAGTACAAAAAAAAATCTATATAATTTTTAACAGTTAAGCCCTGAAATTATTTTCCATGTAAATGTTTTATTAACTTTGAAAAGGAGAAACTTTTGAAGGATTAATGTTGTAATATTATCATAATGAATGTCAACAAATCAAAAGTTATTTCAGCAGTGATGGTTTGTAATTCAAATGGTTCATGTTTGCTACATTTAATTGGTCGTGTGTTGTGTTAACTTCACGGGTCGTGTGTTGTGTCACCTTCTTCATCGTCACTGATGGTGATGCAGTCCTCTTTGTTGTCCTTCTTCGTTTCAGGTTTATCTTTGTCTTTGGCCGCTGATTTTTCTTTGTCTACCTTTGAATCCCTTTGCCGCAATCGTTTGCTGTAAATATTCAATGAAATTAATAAAGAGACGAGAAGATTTTCAATTCTACTAATATATAAATTGCAAGAGTTTGTAAGTGTGCATGTAAGTTTGTTAATTCTTCACGCTCAAACGGCAAACCGATTTTGATAATATTTTGTATACAGGAAGCTGACATCCAGGAATAACACATAGGCTACTTTACATCCCGGAAATCCGCGGGTAACACCGAGGGGCGCAGCTAGTGTATATATTTTAGTGTTGATACAAACTTGAACTCAGTCAGTCCCAGGTGACTATTCTAGAAAGCAGCATAAGGATTTCATTATATATAATATCAACAGGACATGAAGAATTATAAAATGAATGTGTCGATAACGGTTTACTCAATATAAGAGATACATTATGGAGAAATGTACGATATAACTTAAAACAAAGTAACCAACAGACCTTACCGAAACACTACTATCGTACATCAGCTACATACACTTCTCTTCAAAGAAGGGTTCCTCTCGTCCGCAGACCACGCCTTAAAAGACACACCACCAACAGCTTCGACCCTCATCCTGAATTACATATTCTTACGAGTCCTGGAACGTAACGAATGATTCTAGTTTATATAATGACAATAGATTTCTTACTTAAATATTCGACTTACAAGAAGTCGCATTTTAAAGAGTGAAAAACATAATAATAAAGAAGACCATTGAAACGATATAACGTTGAAAAACCCTCCGGTCAATGTTACGCTTAGACAATAATTCAAAATATACTATTAAAATGAACTAGTACTCTTATCACTACAGATAATAAACACTAATATTAACCAAAACTAAAAATGTTACTTAATCAACATTTGCAACTGAACGTAATGTCAATAAAATAAAAAGTAACATTTATTAATACCTATGTGCAAAAAAAACACTCACCATGAAGATAACCGACGTAAAACACATCCATCATAAGGAAGGCCGCGGCCGACTGCCACCAGAGGCACCAGAGGGACCCGGAAGGACTGGAGAAACATGAGAAATGAATTTTGAAAGCAATTAATAGTAAAACCTTAAAATGTAAATTAATAAAATTTAAAAACTAACAATAAACGAGCCGTCAGGTTGGCCACACTAAGTGACTAAGTATCATGGGGAATGGGGATGAAACCAGTGTTGCCAACTTTATTTTTTAGATAATCGTACTATAGACTAAAAAAAATAGTATTTTGTCTTGAAATTCAGGAAAAAAAGAGTACGCAATGAAATTTCAATAAAACTTCGTAAGTATATCAATTAAAAATGAAATTTAATTTTAATTTTCAATTACCATTAATTATCAATTAATATGTGGAATTAAGATATTCATTAATTACATATATTTTGAAAACAGAAAAAAAAAATAATTGCTTTAGTCACTATCTGAATTATTAAGCACAGCAGATGCGGGAAAAGCATTATATTTTTTGTTCATACATACATACTTAAATTTAATTTGCTCAGCATATCGTCACATGGCTTGAAGTTTATACACGATCCTTTTTCTTTAATAATTTTTTTTTGATGACGTAGTGGAAACTCTTTTTACGGGCCATCCAACCGGCCTTGGTGGAGCCGGGATAGATGTGTGAGGCTCGGCCTGGGCAGGACCCTACACACTAAAACCACTGCGAAATTCTTAATTACCGTTTCTGGAATATAGTTTAGTTTTACATATTCCTTATAGTTATAGTATAGTACTAAATATAGTTAGTTATAGTACAAAGTTTAGTTTTACATATTCCTTATAGTTTTATTGGAGATATATTTTTTCGTAGGACTTCATTTAAAAAATCGTATATTGTGCGTACGATTTCGATAACTCGATCGTACATCGTACAAGAGTCAAAAAGGTCGTATAAATACGATTTAAATCGTTTCGGTTGGCAACACTGGATGAAACTATCGTATAATTAACGTGTTTAAGAAAATAATGTATAGAAAATGCTGCCATCTAACGAACGAAGCACAACAACTTTGACACTATTTTCCTTCATAACTTCATAGATGTCGTATGTAGCTCTCAAATCGATTTGACATTAGGACATATTTTAAATTATTTCAGTTGTTCATTTGCCGTCGTTTACTTTTCTTCTTGTGCTGTACGTTCCTTTTCAAACATTTGACCCGGCTTAATATATCATTGACTCCTATTTCTACCCTTTTGACGATCGACCCCGGCTTTTCTCAATTGGACTTTGTTTTCTGCGACTACGATCGACACCGGCTCTTCTCATTTGGATTTTGATTGCAAACTACGAATTTGGATTACCGATAAGTTGAAAAAATGCTACGAAAATTTAAGTGTTATTTTCGGTGTGCGACTAAAGGTACGATACTTATTTAGTAAAATCTATAAAATTCTTATTTGTCATATATGCAATCAATTACTACTCTTGTTACATCAATTTCAATCGTAACAGTTTATTGACTTCTACTAAAAAAAACTTTTCAGGTCCTTTTCATCAATTTCCTAAACCTGAATACCCAAATTTGGAGAAATTCATTCAATGGAAAAATATTTTAAATGAAGACATGAAACAAAAGGAAGATTCTTAACGTGATCGTCATTTTGAACAGTTTTACCATTCTTTAAGTAAATGACTCACTCGAAATGTTGTACCAGCTCTATTCTTAAGTAAGTATCTAAAGTAAGCAACTTCCCAAGTAGTTATAGGCACACAATACATACTACTAATATAAAATAACTATAAATAATCAATTATACTTTATAACTATGGATAATATTTTTTAT